CATTTCCTCGTACACATTCAAGCACCCATCAAAATTTCCAGCAGCCCCATAAATCCTAATCAGCGTAGCAAACGTCACAGCATCGATACGCCACTTCTCAGTTCTTGCACGATCATACAAATTCAACGCCATATCTACATTACCAGCCTTACCATACGAATCAATCATCACAGAGTAAGTAACATCATCGGGTTCACACCCAAAAGAAGGCAACTTTTCGAACCATTCAATAGCTTTTTCAGGCAAATTGCACTGCCTAGCACAACTAATGATGGTAGAGAAAGTTACATTATCAGGCTTCACCCCTCTTTGAAGCATTTCATCAAACAACTTCTCTGCTCTGTCCAAATCCTTACTTTTCCTCAAAACTTTCAATGTCACGTTATAAATAATCACCTCTTTGCTCAATTTCAACCTTTGTTGAAAGTATTTCAAAACTAACAATGCAGTTTCAGCATTAGACATGTTATTCAAAATCACCACAGCATCTTGTTCTACTACTTTATCACCCAAAGCAGCTAAAACGTTAATCGCATCTTCCTCTACAGGGTTACAAGAATCCAAAGACTCAGCCATTTTCACTAAGGAAGCATACCTGGAATCGTAAGATTTTTGCCTCAACTGAGAAGCTTTGGGGCTTTTGGGATTGACCCAGATGTAGCTACTTTTTGAGGAAGATGGGGATTTTCGGGAATTAGTGGGATTTGAAATGTCGGATTGTTCTTGTAATGAGACATGGGTTGTTGTTAAGGTAACAGATTTCGAGTGAAGAAGCTTGTTGTTGAGAGGAAAGCTGAGCTTTTGGAGAGAAGTGAAGCTGCAGAAGGTGTTGGATTCGTAGAGAGGAGATAATAGTGTAGAGCTTGGAGTAGACGCCATTTTTCTTTGAGCTGTAGAAGAGGAGGAGCAAGCCTGGCTTTGCCGTCTTATCAACTCCTGGTGAGATCAATTTGATTAAAACGATAAATTACTTATTGCTCCCTTAAGGTTTAGGTTTGTAGAAATTTTACCCCTCAACTTTTAGAGTATGTATTTATTCAATTGAGTTAGTGAGAATGGGTTATCAATGTAATCTTCTTTTTTTTTTTTTTTGTAATAAAAGATTTTAGTTATCAGTTAACTAGTCTGATTACATAGCCCAATACTCCCATTGAGAGCAGACGAGGGTGGGATACTATAGTCAGAATCATAATAAGACATAACAGAGTTTTTCAGCGTAGCTAAATTATTTAATACAATAACATTAGTAGTGCTAGTCCTAGTAGTACTAATCCCCTCTTTGTCAGCTTCTACAGCATCTCTTAAGAAATCTGGGGCATTTGAAATATCTAGCTATTATAGACAGTGGCCTGGTGGACTCCATGATATGCTAGTGCATGAGTGACCTTGTTGCCTTCACGGAAATTGTGTAGGATTGGTGGATTCCCCAACATCTTCAGCAAGTACCTGCAATTAGAGAGAATTGCATTATATGATCGGTTATTGATAGTATAGAGGTGGAATCTGTTTCTACTTAGGGGGTTTTCAAGTTGTAAGGTATTCTACGTTTAATCCGAAGCATAGTGCCTCAAGTTCCATGTATAGTGGGGTGGAGCCATAGCTTCTTTTACTAAATCCCAATATCCAAGTCCCATTAGAACTTCTAAATACTCCTCCTATCCCTCCTTTCTTGCACCTACCTGTAAAGGCTCCGTCTATATTTAATTTTACCTGATGAACGTCGGGAGGTTCCCATTTGGTGGTGACTATTAGGGACCTGTCTACTTTGCTACAGTTGATATTGCTACAGTGGAGGAATTTTATGGCTCTTGAGATAACAGTTTGGCAAGTGACAGTATTACAGAGATTGTGAAAGGTGTTTTTATTCCTGTTTAATTAGAGCAGCCAAAAAATAAAGGAAAATAGGCAGTCCCAGGTTAGAGAGCGGCAGTTGATTGGCGATTTGTATTTGTAGAGGTTATCTAGCCAATGGGCATTATAGGTTTCAATGATTTGTGTGTTAACACCTAGTTCATCCCATAGGTATTTAGCTATTGGACAGAAAAGGAAAATGTGATGTGATCTTTCCTCCGTGTTACTACAAACTGGGCAATGCAAGGTAGTATTAATTCCAATATGGGCTAGGTAGGTTTTAGTAGGTAAGCGATCATGGTAGCATTGCCAGAGGAAATATTTAATCTTGTTCCAAGTTTTTAGTCTCCAAAGCCATGCAAAGTTTTTTGTTTGGTTTTGGGTGTATTTAGGATTTAGTAGGGGGTAGACAGATTTTGTATTAAAAACTCCATCTATGTTGGAGGCCCATATTGGGGTATCAGTGTGGTAATTGTTAGCAATGTGAAGAAAGTGTATTTCTAGTGAGATGTGGGATGGGAGCTCAAAAGAGAGCTTTGACAAGTCCCGAGAATTATTGCTAAGGATGTCTGAAAGTTTAAGATTTAGGTCAGTGGAGGATAAGGGCCCCTGAATCATACAATGAAGGGTTTTAGTGCAAGGGAGCCAGTTTGCATGCCATAAGTCTATGTTGGCACCATCTCCTATATGCTAGAAAATGGCATTTTTATAAATTTTCCATCGTTTAAGAATGTTACTCCATATGAAGGAGTGGGAATTATGGGAGTATCGACCAGTATATTTAGAATTGATAGTTTTGGCCCAAATAGCGGAGGGGTTGCTAAAAAAGCGCCATGTGAGATTTGTAAGAGCGGCAGTGTTTTTATCAGCAGATTTCCTTATTCCAAGACCCCCGACATCTTTTGGAAGAGAGACGGTGTCCCATTTAATGTAGTGTATTTTTCTGGAGTTAAGGCTACTACCCCATAAGAAGTCACGTTGAATTTTATCAATTTGATGGTGATTTTTTTTGGGCAGCATCGTGAATTGCATAACATGATTAGGTAAGGCATTCGTGGTTATTTGAGTCAGTGTGGCTCTTCCTGCAAGTGATAGGAATTAGGTTTTCAAACTAGTGAGTCTTTTGTTGAGATTATCCAGAATGAAAGAATAGTCAGGGGATCTCGGTTTGTTTGTTAGGATTGGAAACCTAGATATTTCCCAAAGTTGTCACTAATTTTGATATCGAGTATGTTGGAAATGGAATTTTTGAGGTTACTAGGAAATCTCTTTGAGAAAATTTTCTTGGATTTGTTGTGATTTATTTTTTGTCCGGATAGTGAACTAAAGTAATCTAGGCATCTCTTTATTGTATTGGCGGATTTCTCATTGGCTGCCGCCATAAAAGTTAAGTTATCGGCAAAGAACAGATGTGAGAGTGGGGGCCCAATTGTGTTTAGTTTGATTGGGTCCCAAAGCGTTAGATCTATTTGATGATTTATGAGAATGGAGAGCAGTTCAATGCTAAGGATGAAAATATATAGGGACATAGGGTCGCCTTATCTTATTCCCCTAGAAGGCTTGAAAAATTCTGTTTGGGAGCCATTTACTAGGACAACAATACGGGATATGTTAATACAAGACATGATAAGATTAGTGATGTGCGGGGAAAAGTTGAAGTAGTGAAGGGCTCAACGGATGAATGACCATTCAAGGCGATCAAAGGCTTTTTCAAGGTCAATTTTAAGGAGAAATTTCCCTTTTTTGCCTCTAATTTTATTATCGTGGTGAATGATTTTCTGCATAATGATAGCATTGTCAGACGCCCGTCTTCCTTTAAGGAAGCTGGATTGAAAGGGACCAATTAGGGTATCCATGAATGGTTTAATACGATTGACAATAACTTTAGTAATAACCTTATAAATTGTGTTGTAGAGCCAAATAGGTCTGAAGTTTTAGAGATTGTTGGCATTAGGAAATTTAGGGATTAAACAAAGAAAGGTTGTATTGAGCTGCTCTGGAATAGTGTGGGTTACGAAAATATTGTGACAATAGTCAAAAGTATTTTTGACGATGTGCCAGTATTTCTGGTAGAAGAATGGATGAAGCCCGTTTGAGCCAGGAGCTCTGAACGCTTTAAATGAAAATAAGGCCCTAGTGATTTCATAATTTTATAAGGGTTTATCAAGGGTTGTAAGGTCAGTATGAGTATTTGCTGTGGGGGATGCTTGAAGGATTTTATCAGGATCGTTAATCCAGTTGTTATGGTCATCCTTAAAGAAAGAGATGCGATTTTTCCTTCGCTTATTAAGGACACTTATATGAAAAAATTTTAGTGCTTGCATCCCCTTCACTAAGCCAATTAATACGCGATCTGAGCTTCCAGTAATCTTCCTCAATTTTTAAAAGATTACTATAGTCATTAGTGAGGGTGAGTTCGAGATTTTTCAGGAAGATTCTAGTAGGGTAATTAGCAGACTTTTGTATCCCACTGATTTGTGCAAGAATTTTTTACTTTTTTTTAAAGACATCCCCAAAGGTGATGGATTCCCAGTTCTGGATCTTATTAGTGAAGAGGATGGTAATAGTAGGCAGATTTTGGTTGGCCCAGGTGTCTTGAACTATTGAACTAAAATTTGGGTGATGGCACCAATATGTTTCTAAAAGAAAAATACGTTGAGTGCGTGATCTATTCCGGTGAAACAAAGAAATTAGAAGAGGGTCATGGTGAGAGTAGGTTTTGGGGAGGTGAGTAACGCTAGTGTCGGGATAATATTCTAACCAACTTTCATTGGCATAGCACCTATCAAGTCGTTGAAGAATTAGGTCTGAGCGAGTGTGCCTGTGATTGGACCATGTGTACTTTGCTCTCTTAAAACCAAGATCTAAAAGGTTACATTGATTAATACATGATTGAAAACGTGAGGCTCTATGTCTATTGATAGATCTGCCTCCCCATTTATCTTGTTGCCTAGTGACTTCATTAAAATCACCTCCTAAAAACCACATTCATTTATAATTGTTAGCAATATTTTCTATGTTTAGCCACAGTTGGTTCCTAGTGATAATATTAGTACTTGCATACATTATGCTTAATAACCAAGGTTGGTGGTTTGGAAGTACCTGAATCATTGCGTGGATTTCTTGTCCATCAAGGCGATTGTGGCTGATATGGACAGTGGTGTTATGCCACAAGATGGCAACACCTCCAGATTGGCCATGCGCAGGAATTTCAACCATGTTGGAAAAATGAAACTCGTCCCTTATGCTGATGTGGTTGGACATACGAGTTTCAAGAAGAGCTACCAAGCAAGGGTTATAGGTGTTAAATAAATCCCTAAAATGACTCTTGAATTCGTCATTGTTTCCACCCCTGATATTCCAAATGACAAACATGGGGAGTCTAGTCATTGATGGGTGTTGGCTGGGGGGTGACATTGAACTGGCTCCCCATTGGTGGAACAGGAAGACCATTCAATGATGGACTGAGTATTACGGCGAAATTGCCTACTGCTGCATTGAGTGGGGGCCTTATGTCGAGGGAGCATTTGTATAGCTCTGTGGGACATTTGCGGACATACTTCTTTTCTTCCATCGCTTGGAATAACAAGATTTTGACCTCGTGTAGGTTTGAATTTTCTGTGTACGATGTTATATTTAGTGGTGGGATGGTTTGATTTTGGGTTTCCATTTCTTGCTCTCCTGGTACAGGTGCACTGTGATGGGGATGGGAATGTGTGTGGTGAAAATCCATCGGAGCTGGGTAGTGTTGAGGGATGGGTTGCCATGCATGGATCAAGGGTGGGGTGTTTTGATCCTGTGGAGCAAAAAAGGGAAGTTGGTAAAAAAGTTGCATGTTTTGTAGGGGATTGAAGTGATGTGGTGGATTCCAGTGGGCTTGCATGTTGTGAAGAAGGGCTGGTGCTAGGGTGGGGCTATGGGCTCTAGAACATTTGTCAACTAAAGGTGGTTGATGTAGTTCGACATTGCTAGCCTCATACCCTCCGAGATTAATTGAGCTAGGACCTGTGGGTTCTGTAGAACAAACA